TTCGGGACGGCTGCAGCCGCAGCTGCAGCTGGCTGGTTGCGTCATTTAAGAAGCGCTTGGATTTCCTTTGGCGGAAGATTTGGCGTGTTTGGGTGCTACGGACAACAAGCGGGACGTGGAGGGATCGCTTTCCATCGCACCGTTGCTGATCAGGCTAATGTCAGCCACTGCATCTGGTGAGGAGCCATTGTGCTTCTTCGCATTCCGCTTGGGCTGCGTGAGCCATGGATTGTCGACATCAGCGTCGTCATCCTGAGTTGGGTCGTTGTTGGCTAGAGGAGATCGTTTCTTGAGAGGCTGAGAGCTGCGTGCAGTAGATTTATGCGCACGGTGGTTGCTGTTATTACTGTTCGTAGTAGGATTATTATCCACCCGAATCTCGATTTCGCCATCGGACTCTACTGCGCGGGCCTTGTCATCTGCATCGGAATCTGGCTCCTCAAATTCCTGCCGTTGAGGAGCAGTGACTGCAGGTTCGTTGGTAGTGGCAAGTCGGCCGAACTTCTGGCGGCCCATCTCCATCTCATCATCGGAGTGTAAATCATCCCCGCCATCCATCTCACGACGGAGTTTTTTAATTTCAGCATCGTTCTGAGCCTTCCGCGCAGCCTCCGCATTCCGCATAAATTTCATGGACAGTAACCCTGCATGAGGCCCGGTGATGGGCTCTTCATTCTCATTGCCGTTTTGGTCGAGGTCATTGAGCTTTTTCTTCAGGCGTTGTGCCTCAGCATCGGACCCAAACCCATCTTCAGCTGCATCACTGTCGCTCTCTGACTCCTCGCTTGAGGACCCTAGATACCCTTCCTGTCCCGTAGTGACTCGCTTTCCTTCTATTCTGCTTTGCAATTCCTCCCCCCGCCTTGCTAGATCCGCCATTTCCAGTCGCGCTTCGTCATCCCAGGCCGTCCTTCCAGTTTGTTTAAGGCCTTTAGCCCACTTGCTTTCCCGATGTTTCGCTCCCATTCGAGCTTCCGCTCTCTGCCGGTCGAGTTTTTCGCGGTCTTCCTCATCAACATCAACACCAGCGGCGATAAGAGCTTCCCGCTCTCTAATATCCATCTTTTCCCGCTCCTTGCGATGCACACGGCGGTAAGATTTGCTCTTAATTTTCTTAATCCGCTTGGCTCGAACCTCCTCGCGGAAAAGTAGCTCTCGAGCCTTCCGTAGCTCTGCGCGACGCGCCTGTATTTCTTCCAACGGGAGCTTTTTCGCCTGTAATTCTTCAAATTCCTGAATCCGAGCTTCGCTGGATTTATCCTTCTCGTCCGCTAGGCCGCTCTCTACAAGGATATTCTGGATGGTGCTCTCGAGGTCTGTCAATGGCTTCGAATCAGTAATGGATGACTGCTGGATGGCGTTCGGCTCGGGAAGGGGAAACGAGAGGTGGTCGGCTCTTCGGTTAGCTTTCACCGTTTCAATCCACCGATTAAGGGTCTCTTTGCTCTTCTCATAAGCTGCAGCACGGTCAATACGATCCTGCTGCCGTTTAGCGAGAGGCGCTTGCAGCTTCCCAGGTATTCCAGCTTTGCTCTTCTTCGTTGCGGCAACGGCGTCTAGATGTTTGAGCGAGCCTTTCATGCGCGAGTCGGAAATGGTCGGGATCAGATCGGCAACTGTAAGTTTGCGTGTTGGCATGAGGCCGAATTCCGTAGGTTGGGCGCCGTGAGTGATGGTCTGATGCTTCAGTTTCGATTTGCCGTCGTCGCTTTGTCCGTTTTCCATGGACTTGACGAACTTTTGTAATTTCGACAGGCCACGCTCATTTGAATCATCCTGGTCAGAAAGGGATAGCCCAGAGACATCGCTTGCATCGTCACCGTCAGAGTCATCAGAATCACCCTTTTGGTCCTCACCCTCGCTACCAGTAGTGTCAATATTGTCTTCCTCATCTGTAGTCTTAGATCGAAAAGTCTTCTTCGCCCTCGTAGTGTTCGCTTTAACGTCCGATTCTGTGTCTTCTGCGTTCATATCCCAAGCCGTAGCAAGATCCACCGCTTCTTCCCCAAGATCATCGTCATCCTCCAGCGCTTCGACGTCACCTTTTGATAAGGTTGAAATCATCCCGTATTCCGGTTTCTCAACGTAGATTTTCACTTTTGCCTTTAGCGCTCTCACCAAGCTTTTCGCCCATCGAAATTTCTCCTCATCGCTCTCACCCATAGCTTCATCGCTGTCGATATCACTGTCATCATCGGAATCGACCCGACCCAACAGCCATTCATTCCCCTCTCTATCACTTCCGCGATTGTCGCTCGAGTCGGAGCCTTCATCGTCGTCGCCAGTTCTCCGTCGCTTGGAAGGCGGGTCGTGAGAGTCCCCTTCGCCGTCTAGTCTCGAAGCTCCGCCTCTCTTGCGCTTAGAGCCGTCATCGCCCTCCACCCCCAAGCGGTGTTTTCGAATTCCGGAATTCGAGGGATATTGCTTCTCTGCAACTGTCAAGGCATCCAGGCCGCCCCGCGTATATGGCTTCTTTGTTCCTTTCGGTTTCGAACGTCGGGGCTCTTCTTTGGACCGGAGCTGGTTAGATTTCCTCGCCATGGCTATGTATAATTAATCATATCAATCCCCGCCCAAAAAGATAGAGAGGAAGTACACGAAAAATTAATTTTAATAATGCATAGCAGCACTCTGAAAAGAGAGGGTGATGCAAAATGGAAATTGCAGAATGTGACATGGATTTTATTTGTGCTTTTCGTGTAAATTGGTTTTTTATTTATCGCGCGAGCACAATGCAGTTGCTGATCCTTGCGGGCCCAAAAAAAAAAAAAAAAAGGTTTCTCGGTGTCAAAAGGCCTGTGCGTTTGAGAAGCGAACACAAGGAGAACAACCACCGCCGAAGAACCACAAAACCCCCCAATCTCCGCGCTTCGACAATTGCTTGCAATTTAGAGCTCTGTACTTGGTCACTCTGCCTTTGGATGGGCGTATTACCGCTTCGTCTTGATCATGTTTAAACCCACATCACGCTTGAATGCGCGGCTGCGGTTGACCACCAAGCAGGTCAACGGAGGCTATTACAAGGGTAACCGGACGGGCAACGTGGGATTCTTCGGCAAGAAGAAGGGCACATATTTCATTGACTGGCGAAAAGTGCGCACATATGTGGTTCCAGAGGGACTTGATACCTTTAAGGTCCGTTCTATCATACATAGATACATACATATGTGCGCATTCCTCCCCCCCCCTTCCCCCTCCATCTTCCACCCTCTCCACTCTATTCTCTCTTCTTTTCTCCTTCTGCTCCGTAACGCGCCTTTCGCCTTCTTAATGCGCCCTCATGATGGCTGATTGACTAACTTGTACCCACTCCACGCACCGGCTTTTCCATAACAGCTCACCCCCTTCGTCACAAAACGAATGGAGCCCACAAAAACCCAGTACACGCAAACGATAATGATCGGCGAGAGGGAAGTCGAGGTGCCGCGTGGGATGAATGGGAAAGACTACCTCGATGACTGGTATGCGAATAACGAGTTGGAGTCTGACGAAGTCGAGCGGATACGGAGAGGAGAGGTGATGGCTAGCCAGGAGGACACCGCCGTTTCAAAGGAGCAGCAGCAGCAGCAGCAGCAGCAGCAGCCAGTGCAGACAACGGCCGAGTTGAATGCGGAGCCACGCGCGGACGACGCGGATAAAAGCAAGCACTGAAGTCGCCCGAGCGAGCAGGAGCCATAGAATTCTTCTCGTTTGGCCCCGTACAATCTATCCATGCAGCCGTCTACAAGCGAATCGGTGGCTCCGGGGACATCATGGAGGCACTGGCCCGCTTGATCTGGCCCTTTCTCACAATTGGTATTTGGGGAAGAGGTTCTTCGTTTATTTTCCCTCTTGTACAATATACATTTTATGTTTTGATATATTTTTACCTTTTTTTTTTTTTTTTTTTTATATGTGGTTAGGGGTTTAAGGCGAAAGGCGAAAGGGTCTTTCGATGATATCTCGAGATTTCAGCAAGGAATCACCCGTGCAAGTCGCGTTGGTGCTGGTGGTGCACCATTTTCCCTTCCCTGTACACTAATAAGGTAGCATATCAAAGATAGAAAATGAGATAGATTGATAGCTTCGGGCTTCATAGAACATTCTGATACCATAATCACTGAAAAGATTACCAAAACATCGTTTCTTACAAATGTATAAATAGATAAATAAATAAACGAATGATGAGAGTCAAGGTGTTCGGTGCCAGCGATTAACATCCTTGGTTCCAGCCGATGACGATGTCGCAATGTTTCCGCGCAACAACACGGAAACACCTTCATCCAACCTCCAAGCTTCTCGAAAGTGCTGCACCCTCATCGCGAGACAACGCTACCCTGGACATCCCTTCTTTGATAGCATCAGCATGTCCAGGTAGAATCCCGCCACTTTGAAGAATGGACCATTTTGCTGCACCTGCCTGTGCTCCCCCCCGCCACTGCTGAGCCATTTTATTTAACATTCCGCTTTACAACAACCATGTTCCAGTCATTTACTGGAAAGGCTCGCAGACCGCGACAAGTCAACCTCTCAAACCGACCAACGAACCCTGTGTCCGCATACTCTTCGGGACGTCATGGTCAAGCCGGTCAGGGCACACAAGCAACCATTGCCCTCGCTCAGCAGGAACGCCGCCAACGACAACTAGACCGGGAGCGCTTGCAGGCAACCTACATTCTACAACGCACATGGAGGGGATACAAGGCCCGGAAAGCCGCAAAGGACTCTTGGAGAACAGAGTGGGATAATGTGGAACGCAATAGAGGGCCAGATGCGAGACCAGGTTCCGATGGAGACGCGCTGGTGTGGATGGGTTTGCCGAAGCCCTATACGGACCCTACGGATTGTTTATCTCAGCTGAGGAAGCTGTTGTGTTTCATTTGGATTAAGGACCGGGATGACTGGGCACGGCTATCATATTTTGCAAAGTCTTTCCAAATGACTTTGGAAGAGGCTCCTGTCCTGCAACCTGATGGAGAATGGCCGCCCACCCTTCGCCGCCTTGGAGTGGTTACTCTCCAGTTCCTTGCGACAACTCCCTCGTCGGTGCCGTCTGTGTCGTTGGTTAATGATTTCCTCCAGCTTATAACGTTTCTTTCTACTTTGTTACCAACACAGATGACTCGATTAGCTGAACGGTACTATTCTGCTTTAGCGGCCATAACTTTAAACCTCCAGACGTCGCTGAATACTAGTCAAACCAGAGGCATGGTCGTTAGAACTGTGCTCGCCCTTCTTCAGCCTATCACATCGGAAACTCTCGATGCCTACGGGTGGTTCGGACGAGTCTTTTTAGCCATCCCGTCTCTTGACAGCCACCTTGGATGGCTAGATGACCTAGCCGCGGGAGTAAACTATAAACTTCTGGCCTCCGCGATAGATTCACATATCCTGCCACATGCAAATTCTTTTTCCGAGCCAATAGACGTCGACAGACGATTGTGGCTGCTCTCCTATTTTATCTACTTCCATCGACACGCACAAGGTGATGGTGTAGTCAAGCAAGCCCCTGAGACTTTGTTTGTCAAGGCCGTTTCGGGACTGCTAAGCCCTATAGCTGGTGAAGTATCTCGTCGTCTTGGTGGCGAGGAAAAGACCCAGACTGAGCTATTTCCCCCCTTTGTTCGAAGTCAACTCTACACACTACTCGACCAGCACAGCATTACACACCTTCTGAGCCACGCAGCACCAAATCGACTTCCGATTGTCAATAGTAACAGTTCTCAGTTACACCTACAAGCATCAAAAGATGTAAAGGCCCTAGCGGCCTATGCACTGACACTCTTAAGGGTTTTCCCGAAGCGAGGTGATGAAATACGCATGTGGCTTTACTTGGGTTCTGCTATGGAAACAGGAACAGGTGGAGATTCCACTTCTGGTCGGCTACCTGCCATCAAGTACTTTTGGAACGCATCTAAATCAACAAGGGTATTTCTAAATATAGCACAAAACTCGCTCGATGTCCTTGCAATGCTTCAGACAGGTTCTGCACTTAGCTCCCAGGGCGGTTCAATCGCCGAACAGAGTAGCGACCGAGAACAAGAATGGACAGTTATTCTGCTGTTTCTTGAGCTTTATACCTTTCTCCTGAAAGTTTTGGACGACGAGGAATTCTTTTCTGCCACTCCTTCGCTAGGCAAACCTTCAAAATCCAATGCTTCCTGGACACAAGAGAGCGCACTACCGCTAGACGATGTTAGGAATCTAACCCTTTTCTTGAAGAACTTGGCGTTCACACTATATTGGAACTCAGCGGATTTGACCTCTACAAATATAGATCCTTCAGACACCGACGGCATTCGAAATTACTTTAGCATCCGTTCTCCGCCGCTGGAGCCGGTTCACTCAAACCTGAAATCTAAGAGGAGTACTTTAGTAAGCGTTACCGGGATACCTCTAGATTATTTTAAAGGGCTGGTTACAGGTTTGTTACGCATGGTGCACGAGAGAGAGTAAGTTTGCGCCAGTGTTAATCTGTGAATAATTGCATGTCGTTTACTAAATTGCTGTCTAGTTCAAGACGGAAATTTTTGCCTGATGGCCATTGGCTTATGGTTGACCGTTTTGACATGGAAGGGTTCATTCCCGCGGTCGTCGCTGAGGAAGAAAATAGACATCAGCTCCAAGATTACGACGAGGACGATGATGACAACGATGATGAGACACTCAATGAAACAATGGAAGATGATTATGATCATTTCCCGGTGTTAGTAGGAACTGGGAGGGCTCACCACCTTCGCCGGATCGAGGAGCTTAGAAAACGACAACAACAAGTTGCAAGGAGGAAAGAGCTCGAGGCTGTTGCTCCACGACTAGAAATTTTGAGGAACATACCATTCTTCATACCGTTCGCTACCCGTGTTCAGATATTCCGGGAGTTCATCTTCAGAGATCAAGTTCAAAGGAGACGGGGCTTTATTGACCCTGACTCCTGGCGCTTGTCCATTGCTCATAGCTTGATGGGATTGAGCAATGATGGTATGTCCAGGGGAAATGATATCTTGAGCAAGCATCATGCGAACATAAGACGAGAATCCTTGTTCCAGGACGCGTTCGATAAGTTCTATGAGCTAGGTGATGGCTTGAAGGAACCGATACAAATTTCGTTTATCGACAAATTCGGCACTCCCGAAGCAGGAATCGATGGTGGCGGGGTCACAAAGGAATTTCTGACGAGCGTTATTAGTGACGCTTTCAACCCTTCGGGGCCCTCCAGCCTTTTTATCGAAAACGATCAGCACCTGCTGTACCCGAACCCTACACTCATAGAGCAGCGAAAGGCTCAGCTCCGACGGCAAGGAGTCCCCGAAAGAAGCCCCACCATGAACGCAGAGGTTAAGGAAATATTGAAACGGTATGAGTTTCTAGGCCGTATCATCGGAAAATGTCTATACGAGGGAATTTTAGTGGATGTCAGCTTCGCGGGGTTCTTTCTTTTAAAATGGGCCTTGACTGGGGGGACGAGTTCGGCGCGGAAAGAGTCTTCTTATCGTGCCAATCTCAATGAAGTACGGGATCTCGACGAGGGCCTGTATCAAGGCCTGGTAAGTCGCTTTTTGTTTCATTAATTACCGTCAATTAAGCCATCCCCTCCCCACTTTTCTTTTTGAAATGGTCCATTTATTCGCTAACCACCCTCCTTCCCCTTCTACAGCTCCAACTGAAAAACTACCCAGGAGATGTCGAAGACTTCGCTCTAAATTTCACCGTAACAGATACCATAGCCGTCCCCATCGAAAAACCAGACGGCACGCTTGAGACAATCACAGAAAACATAACCAAAGATCTCAAACCGCACGGCTCCGAGATCCCTGTGACGAACCAAAACCGACTCGTCTATATCTCCTACATCGCTCGCCACCGCCTCCAAGCACAGCCCTATCTACAAACCAACGCCTTCCTCCAGGGCCTCGGCACCATCATCCAACCCTCCTGGCTATCTATGTTCAACCAGTCCGAGCTCCAAACCCTCGTCGGCGGAGACACGGGTGAGATTGACGTAGCCGACCTACGGCGGAACACCGTCTACAGCGGCAGCTACGTGATTGGCGACGATAACCAGGAACATCCCACGATCAAGCTATTCTGGGAGGTGCTGCAGACGATGACGAATGCGGACCGGCAGAAGTTATTGAAATTCGTGACGTCGACGCCTCGAGCGCCGCTGCTGGGTTTCAGCCATTTGAATCCGCGGTTTAGCATACGCGATTCGAGTGCAGATGAGGAGCGGTTGCCTAGCACAAGCACGTGTGCGAATTTACTGAAACTACCCCGGTATACACGCCTCGACACGTTGAGGGAGAAACTGATGTATGCGATTAATGCAGGGGCAGGGTTTGATTTGAGTTGAGTTCAGTTTAGATGAAATGGGACTTGGGCCTTTTCTCTCTTTCTTCTTTTTCTTTCTTCTTTCTCCCTCTTCCCCTGTCTCATGGCACATTGAAGTTGGGCTTTTATTTTACTTTATTTTTTCAAGCTCCCTCCCTCTAATGGAATGCCCAGACGACAGGCTGGCAATAAAGACTAATGGCAAGGCCTGACAAATAAATACTTGTGAGGTTAATGTCGTTAAGCAAACATTGTTCTCTGATATCACAACTGGGAGACTGGCAATTTTCTTCTTTATTTTTTATTGAACTTTTTATCATAATGATCATATTTTCCACAGAGTGGGGCATGGCTTGCCAGCGTTATGCTCATTTTTGTTTAATATTCTAGCTAGCGTTTCCTTCTCTTTCCAAACAAACAAAGATATCGCCAATGGCTGCTTGTTGCTTGTTCTAATGGTCATTCTCACATTCTCAGATTTTCTGTTGGTAGTCAAGTGCAAGAATAGTATGGAAACTGTGTACGGTCTACTTAGTTTGTGATGGAAATCCAAACCACGGTAACCCGAACAAGGTGTTAAATTGGGCCTGAAGTAGCTGCGAAAATATTTCCCGACTGGGACTAGCTTCAACGCGCCGAATCTGATTTTTTCATTTTGGCCAAACTCCAAATTTTATTCTTTTTTCCTTTTCCCCCTTCACAAACCCCAAAATCGAAAAAAAAATAAATAAATAAATAAATCAGACCCAAAGGAGAAAAAAAGAAGAAAAAAAAACTGTAAAAAAAAAGAAAAAGGTCAAAAAAGGTCTTGCGGTTTGCTTGTGTGGTCTTTTCTTTTGTCACAGCAACAGCAACCTCGTCTTCTATCTTCAACCTCCTCATCCATCTATTTTCTCAATCTATCTCCTTTCTTTCCTTATCTCGTCGACGGTCTTGGTCTTCTGGACACTGCCACTACGACATTCCAGTGCCTCATCTCCATCCAACATCAGAGTCAGTAACCTCTCTCTCTGGTCAGCCACTGTGCCTCCATCCGATATTCTCTCCTTCGCTCTGCCCCCTTCCCCCAGTCGAAAATACTCGTAACGTGCCAAAAAAAATTTGAAAATTCCACCTCCCCTTGAAAGAAATCCTCTCGTGAAGGATCTATCTCGTGAGTCCATATTGCTCCAGCTTGCCTGACGGTGCTGCGATCTCCCGGACTTTGCTTCTATCTTTTCATTCACCATCTCCACAACGACAGGCATCACTATCAGCGCCAGGACCCTTCTACTAACAAAATGTCTCCGTTTGGCAGATCACCCTGTTGATATCCCTTTTAGCTCCTTTGAGTATCACTCCCATTTATATATCCAGTGTAGGTCGTTGTCGTCTTTTGTCGCCCTTTCTCTGAGCCTGCCAAAATTTCCCGCAGAAACACATCCTCATCCCGCCTTCCTGATTTCGCCAAAGAAAATCCATATCTACATGCTTTGTTTCTGTGGTCTGGTTAAGCTCTACTCACCATCTTACTCGTCTTCTTGCCCCCAGATATTCGAAGAAAATAAGAACTACATTCTCAATCGCCAAAATGTCTGCTGCTGAAGTATCGTCCGTCGCCGCCCCAGAGACCAACCCCGTGGAATCCTCGACGAATGGCACCACCGTCAACACAAACTTTGCAAATGATGCTGCCGGAGATGGCAGCGAGACCCCCAATTCTGCTGGTCCCAGCACCACCCAACCACATTCTGCCTCCCTCTACGTCGGAGAATTAGACCCCTCCGTCACCGAAGCCATGCTTTTCGAACTTTTCTCCTCCATCGGCCAAGTCGCTTCCATCCGTGTGTGCCGCGATGCTGTCACCAGACGTTCTCTCGGTTATGCTTATGTCAACTACAACAACACTGCTGATGGCGAACGTGCTCTCGAAGACCTCAACTACACCCTCATCAAAGGCAAACCTTGCCGGATTATGTGGTCCCAGCGTGATCCTGCCCTGCGCAAAACCGGTCAGGGCAATGTCTTCATCAAGAACCTGGATACCGCTATCGACAACAAAGCCCTTCACGACACCTTCGCCGCTTTCGGTAACATTCTCAGTTGCAAAGTCGCCCAGGACGAGTTCGGTAATTCTAAGGGCTATGGCTTTGTCCATTACGAAACCGCGGAAGCCGCCACCAACGCCATCAAACACGTCAACGGTATGTTGCTGAACGAGAAGAAGGTATTCGTCGGCCATCATATTGCCAAGAAAGATCGCCAGAGCAAATTTGAGGAGATGAAGGCCAATTTCACCAACGTATACGTGAAGAACTTGGATACTGAGGTCTCCAATGAGGAGTTCCGGGAGCTGTTTGAAAAATATGGCGAAATTACCTCCGCATCTATTAGCCGCGACGGGGAGACTGGGAAAAGCAGAGGGTTCGGTTTCTTCTACTTCCTCAAGCATGAGAGTGCTGCTGCCGCTGTTGAAGAATTAAACGACAAGGAATACAAGGGTCAGAAACTTTACGTCGGCCGCGCACAGAAGAAGCACGAGCGGGAGGAGGAGTTGCGCAAACAGCATGAGGCTGCCCGCGTCGAAAAGGCGTCCAAATACCAAGGTGTTAATCTCTACGTCAAGAACTTGACCGATGACATCGATGATGAGAAACTGCGGGACCTCTTCATCAGCTTTGGAAACATTACCTCTGCTCGAGTTATGCGTGACACTGCTGGGGATCCCGGTTCTGAATCTGAGAAGGAAAAAGAGAGCGCCAATAAGGAAAACGTGAAAGATGAGGCTAAGAAGGAGTCTGGTGAGGAGGACTCCGCTGACAAGAGCGACAAAGTTGAGAAATCCGACAGCAAAAATGCTACTGAAAAGAAACTTGGGAAAAGTAAGGGCTTTGGTTTCGTCTGCTTCAGCAATCCTGATGAAGCTTCTAAGGCCGTCACGGAAATGAACCAGCGCATGGTCAATGGCAAACCTCTCTACGTCGCACTAGCTCAGCGGAAAGATGTCCGCAAAAGCCAGGTACGTGCTTCAAGTCTATTCTTTTCTCTTGCATACTTTCTATTGTCAACTTGCTAACACGTACCACGTGCAAAGCTTGAGGCAAGCATTCAAGCTCGTAATACTATCCGACAACAGCAGGTTGCTGCTGCTGCAGGAATGTCCCAGCCAGTAAGTTAGGAAAATTTTCATACCACCATCTGTGCGAGTTCCTGTGTATTCTGATTGTTCTTAACAGTTCATGCAGCCCGCTGTCTACTACCCACCGGGCCAGCAAGGATTCATCCCCGCCAACGCTGCACAACGCGGTGGTATGGCTTTTGGTCAACAACCTGGAATGGTTATACCTGGCATACCAGGTGGCCGACCTGGTCAATTCGCCGCAGGGTTCCCGGGACAGCAAGGTGGTCGCGGGATTAACCCCAACCAACAACTCCCACCAAATGCCTTTGGCCTAGGTGCCCAGGGCCTTCCCATTGGTGCGCTCCAAGGTCCTGGTGGGATGCCAAACGGTCTCAGCTACCCACAAGCTATTGCCCAAGTTCAAGCATCATTCGGGCGAGGTGGTGGCGGCCGCGGCCAGGTTCCTGGCATACAGGGTATGCCTCCAAATTTGGCTAATGTACCAGGCATGCGGGCTGGCGGCCAAGGTTTCGCACAAGGCCGTGGCATTCCACCCCAACAAGGCGGTATGGTCCGTTCCGGACAAGCTGGTCGTGGAAACCGGACCAGGACAAGCAATACCCCCCCGTGATGAGTCCGTCGGTGGTCCTACCCTCAATCTCCAGGCTTTTGAGTGCAGCGCCACCCCGCCCAACAAAAACAAATGCTTTGGTGAAGCTATCTACCCCTAAGATCCTAAGCCCAACAACCAGAGTTTGGCTGGGCAAGATCACTGGTATGCTTTTTGGAAATGGACAAATGCAGAACTACTTAGTTTGTAAGTTTCTCCCTCACCGCGACCCGACAATTGCTTCGTTGTTGTCGTTTGATCAGTGTGCTAATGCTGTCGCTGCTCTACAATAGGGTCGATGATGACGCTGCACTCCGCGCCAAGGTCGACGAGGCTATAAATGTTTATGATGAATATATGAAGAGCAAGGGTGGTGAAGGTGAAGCTGCGGACGCAGCCAAACAGTCGAAGGAAGCCGGCAAAGACAGCAAGTCAGAAGAGGCCAAATCCTAATCTTCAACTCCTGCGGGGCTTTCTGGTTCTGGGTTTTTTTTTTTTTTTTTTTTAACGTTTCTTTCCCTTTCTTGATGGTCCGTTTCAATTGGGAGGGACGGGATGGTTAAAGCAGGTGTTAGCGAAACAAAAAGCAGCCCATTCTATGGTTTTTTTTTATGTATTTGTTACACGCTATTTAAAAGAACCCCCCCACGGTCCCCCTGAGTGGTTTGTTTTTGTTTCATTTTTCACCTCTGTTGGAATTTTCCCTTTTACGTGATTTATGAGTAACTTTTCTTTCATTATGTTATGATTTTTCTTATCTTATTATTATTATTCTTCTTTTACTTCCTTCCAATTTTTTTCTTTTTTTCTTTTATCCCTTCTCTAGATGGTATGGTATGTACGTTCTGTCCTCAATTTGTTGTATTGGTCCTTCTGCTTCTTTTTACATTTCTCAGTGTCCCTTGTTGTGTCTATTTTTTGTGTACGTGCCAATTCCCTCTCCTCCCTCCTCACATACGCTACGACGGCGTGTCATCATCTTCTTATCCTCCCCCAACATCAGCTCCATCCATCCGTCCATCCGCATTTTCTTTAAGGCTGCAGTTCCACCCATCACCTCGCCTTCTTCTATATTGCCGCTTTATAAGAGTAACAAACAGCACATGGAGATTCGGGAGTGGAGTGGCTTGGAAGTTGCTTAACATTATTCTTTTATATCTTTTACTTCGTTCCTCTTCCTTCACGAACCCCCAATTTATTTCCGTGTGCTAATTAATTACGGAAAAGAAGAAAGAAAGAAAGAAGGCGGCAATGAAGAAGGGGAGGAGAAGCAATGAGAGATTATAAGTATTGTTCTTTATTTGTTATCAACGCTGTTTATGACTTTCATAAGTCCCTTTCCACACCTGAGATTTGGGAGTTGAGTGTATTCCCGTCTTTGAGAAAGGCAAGATGGTCGGCTGAGCAGACAGCAAGCAAGTTATTCCTGTTCTTTTCTCTTTACTTATTTATTTATCTTTTCTTATCTCCCATAAAAGACAAGGAAAAGTTGATGTTGATATGCCTTATGGGTTCCCCCGTGCTGTAGTCTACCTTGATACGCTTAGTTCCCATCGCGGTGCATGTTGGTTTGTTGTGTGCTCTACTACATACTTATATGTGTATGGTGTTTGATGCAGGTTACACGTCGGCTGACCCCTCGGGTGACTCACCTGACCTACACTAGTGGAGGTCATCAGACGCAAATAATTTCTTGGCACAAAAAGAGTCAGTTGAGAATAAAACAAAATTGAACTTTTATCTTCTCATATATTTTTCAATACATATAGCAAAAATGAATATCAATTCTTTCTCATATGATAGTGATTTATTAGATTTGAATGTAAATTAAAATGATCAATTTAAGAAATAAATAAAAGTTTTGAATGAAAATGTAATATGTAAAATTAATTATTTACTATTGTTTGATTACTGACTGATTAATAAGTCATAAAATAAATCAATTATTTTAACAGATTGCTGAAGTACAAACACATTTTCAATATAAAAAATAAATATAACAAATGTATATCGATTACTATTCTAAATACAGATTATGAATTGATTAAAAAAAGAAAGAAAAAAGAAATCAAAAAAAAAAGATTGTATAAAGAGGATTTTTATAAAGAAAAAATCAGAGCAGAAGAATATCAAAAACTGCTTCACAGTGAAGCACAGAATGAAAGAATATTGAAAGTTATATAAAAAAATTGTTAAAACTATATGAGTGTGAAGTATGAAGCAGAAGAAGTTATATAGAAAAATCATTAAAAATTATACAAATGTGAAATACAATAACAGAAATGAATAAATGCAGAAGAGGAGTTGATTGTGTAAGTTAATTATTAACAAATGCTAACTCATTATATTATCCCCTCTTATCAGAGTGAGTGATGACTCATAAACATTGAGAGTAGTGGTGTCCTTCATGACAGATGCAGATTCCTAGGTCAGATGATTGTATTCTATTCATTTGAGAAAGTATTTGCAATGATGATGGTTGGTTCTATCATCAAGAATTGCTTCAATCTCTCATTCAAGTTCATTATCTTTTTTTATAATAACAAATGACTGTCAGTTGAAGGTTCTCTGTGAAAGTATTTGCAATGATGATGGTTGGTTCTATCATCAAGAATTGCTTCAATCTCTCATTCAAGTTCATTATCTTCTTTTATAAGAACAAATGACTGTCAGTTGAAGGTTCTCTGTGAAGAAAATGAATTCTCAGTCACAGATTGAAACAGATTTGTATGAAAAACATCATAAATATCAAATAGAATGTTGAATCAATAATTATGTGTGCTCAGCATCTCTGTCACAATATATTTAATGTGATGATAATTTAATGTATATGAGAAGTGATTTGTTCTTATGTTTTTGAGATTTAATTAGATTTTATTTTTTATATAATATCAAATTGTAGAACTTTTTCTGATGTTTATTTAATTTTCATAATTTTATTAAATGCTGATCATAAAAGCTTCTACTCATTTATGAACTTTTTTAAACTTGTTTATAATATTCTCTGTCATTTGTATGAAACTGCAGATGTATGTGATTTCTCAGAGATTTTTAGAAAAGTTTAAAACTTCTAAATTGTATTTATGCAGAAGAAAGAATGAGTTTATATTTATTATAATAAAATTTCCATTGTTAATTACAATTTCAGTATGTGATAATAAATGGCTTCAGTTGTTTTGTGTATAATTGTAAAATTTATAGAAAATATTCTTCATTATTTATATCATTCTCTCTGTGACTCCATTGATTTTTAAATGATACACTGTTGACAATTTTTGTTCAATTCTTAGCAGCTGGTATATGCAGGTTCAGAGTGCACTGATCAATTGACTGCTTTTATTTAATATAATGAATAAAGACAGACTGTGTATATGATAGAACAGACTTCAGATAAAAGTATTCATAATTATTTCAACATTCATTTTTTATCACAGAGCTGCAGTATTACATCTTTGTTGAATCAATTGACAATGATTAGAATGTTCATAGAACCTCCACTTTCAGATAGAGAAATTGCAAAATCAATTGCTATATCATATCAAATTCATTTAAAAATAGACAGAGGTTTCAATATTTCTTTTCATCATTCATATCATGCTGTTACTAAGCCACAGTGATTGCAATTGCATACAAATCAATGTATATTTTTTAATATATTCAGTCACTAGAAGTTTCAAATTACAATGCTATATATGATTTTATAATCTAAATATTCAATCATTGATGAGTCATGAATCTTCTACGTGATTCATGTTCATAAAGATTCTGAATCAGAGATCCACCATCTATCTCAGAAGTGTAAATATTCATCATCATCAATCAAACATACTGAGATGTCTGTTCTTGAATATACATTTACAGAGAATTGAAATACTCTGCTTTGTACAGCTTCAACAGCTTGTTATCTGAGTTCATCTGCCTCTACTGCTTGTTTTCATTGCTTTTCAAATGAGAGGTATTGAGTATGAAATTGATTAATATGTATACAGAGTTTATCTGATTATGTGGAACTTTCTATAACTGCAGAGTTGATTAACTGATGCTCTTGATATTTTCATCTGTCATTCAGATCATCAAATGATATATTTTATTCTTGACAGAACAAAGCATTTATAAGAGTGTTTTCTGCTTCTGATTGATAACAAATTATGAATAAAAATCAGCTGAGAAATAATGATCAGTGTATAGCCTTGCAGTAAATTTATGAGTGATTGTGAAGTATTTTAAATTCTTGTGATCAGTGATGATTTCAAACTTTTCAATATTCATAAGCTCTGACTTTCATTTTTCTAAGCATTATATGAAAAATCAAGAGTTTCTTATCATAGATTTCATAGTTACATTCAGTGGGAGATATTTTCTTTAAAGTGAATGTATAAGATTGTAAAATGCTCTCATTATCATATTGTATTAATGCTTTCTCAACCACATAATCAGAGGAATCTATTTTGAGAATTGTATGCTTATTCAGATTGAATAATTGCAGCATCAGAATGTTTATAAACATGCATTTCAGCTTTTCAAATGCTGCATCTGCTTTGTCAGTTCATTGAAATATAGTGTCCTTTTAGATCAGATTCATCAGTAATTGTACAATATTAAAAAAATTCTTGATAAATCTTTAATAAAAGTTGACAAACTCTAGAAAGCTTCTAATCTCTTTTACTGAGACTGATGTCTCTCAGTTGAGAATTGTTTCCACCTTCTTAGAATCTATATATACACCTCTTTCAGCTTCAATAATGAACCTCAGATAAATTGTAGATTTAATTTCAAAATTACATTTATCAATGTTCATCTGTAATTCAGCTTTGTGTAAGTGAGTAAGCATTTATTGTATATGCTTGCAATGCTCAGTGAGCGACCCATCTGTGAAAATTAGAATATCATCCATATATACTGATGCAATCTCATCTAGCATGTCTCATAAGACTCAATTGATATATTTCTGAAATATATTTGAGATATTTACCAATTCAAAAGAGGTCACTGTTCATTCAAATAAATCATAATCTATGATCACCTTCATTGTTTCTTATCTTGTAGAAGGCTGTTGATATATCAAGCTTTGTAAATCATTTTGCATTTTCTATTCATTCAAGTGTTTTATTGATGAGTGGGAGAAAGTATCAGTCCTTTCATGTGATCCGATTGAATTTTCAATAATTTACATAGAATCATAAACCTTTTTCAAATTTCTTTACAAACAACACGACTGCTGCAGCAGAGAAGTTGTTAATTCAAATGATGTTTTTATTTAATAATTCATTAAATGTTTTTCATAAAATAAGAAGCTCATTGTATGACATGCTGTAGAGAAAGTTTCATAATACTTATGAATCTTTATCATCTTTTTTAATGAGCTTAATTGTATGATTTATATCATATTCTCAGTGAGAGGGAAGCTTTCCAGCTGCTTTTTCATTGAACACACCTGTGAAATTTTTATATGATTCAGAGATATGGCGTACGCCGTTCAATTGGTAGGATAATTCATGTCTGAGTTTCTCTAATCTAGAAGGGTGGGCGAACGCCTCTATATATATACGTAGTCATCCCGTCAGCGATCCAATCCAGAGGAAGGAGCGATCGCAGCATACGGGAAGAATAGGAGGAATAATAATGCAGGGGCGGAAGGAGCAGGGCGGAAGGGAGACTAGGGGCGGAACGCCACAAAAGAGTTCTTTATGAGATTTTTTAAAATTTTTAAACTCTAATTTTTCTAACATTTTCTTGATATCTGTCATACTGACAATTAACATTTGAACATTCTTCTTCTTGTATGTTTAATGAGTTTATAGTTTGAATGCTTTCACTGGTATCTGAATGAGATCAGTGGTTCTGTCAATATTCTTTTCATAAATGCAGTCGTCTTTTGAAAAGATTAGATAATGATTGTATGTGTTTATCAAGGTTTCAAATTCTGTAAATCATGACAGACTAAGCATTAAATTGGATTCAAGATCTTGCATTTTATATACATAAACATTCTTTTTCTCATATTCTTCTACATCAATATTGAAATTTATCATATTGTAAAAGGTGGATCCTCTGAAGTCATTGAATCCACTGAGCTTACACAGTTCAGAAAAGAGAATACAATGAAGTTTATACTTTTTAATCAATTGAGTGTTTATAAAAGTGTAGTGAAGAAAACCACTGTCTATCATTGCTTGTATATTGATTAGATTATTTACAATGAAGAGATCATAATTGCATTTACTTATATTTTTTATGCAAACCTTCAGCTTGCTTCTTGCTTCTTAAACTCTCATTTCATAATTTTTAAGGATAGAGCTTTTCATTTCTCTGTCCTTGCTCATTCATAAATGGAAT